AGGAATTTCTAGGGAAAGGAGAGATCCTAATTGAAAAATCTACTGCCAAAGAGTAGGCAGATGCAGATCGTCATAGGAATGTACAGGAAAAGAATAAATCCTAATTGAAAACTCTTCTTACAAAAGATTAGTCAGATGCAGATCGTCATAGGGATTTACAGGAAAAGAATAGATCCTAATTGAAAACTCCTCTTCGGAAGAGTAGGCAGATGCAGATCGTCATAGGAACTTGCAGGGAAAGGAGAGATCCTAATTGAAAACTCCTCTGCCAAAAAGTAGGCAGATGCAGATCGTCATAGGAATTTGTAGGAGGGGATGAGATTCTAATTGAAAACTCCTCTTTAAAGAGTAGGCAGATACAGATCGTCATAGAAATTTGCAGGAAAAGAATAAATCCTAATTGAAAACTTGTCTTACAAAAAAAAAGTAGCCAGATGCAGATCGTCATAGGACTGTACAGGAAAAGGTGGGATCCTAATTAATAATTTTTCTTCTAAACGGCAGCCAATTGCAGATCGTCATAGGAATTTGTAGGGAAAGGAGTGATCCTAATTGAAAACTCTTCTTACAAAGGAGTAGCCAGATGCAGATCGTCATAGGAATTTACAGGAAAAGGTGGGATCCTAATTGAAAACTCTTCTTCAAAAAGGCAGCCAATTGCAGATCGTCATAGGAATTTGTAGGAAACGAATCGATCCTAATTGAAAACTCCTCTTGCAAAGAGTAGGCCGATGCAGATCGTCATAGGAATTTGCAGGGAAAGGAGAGATCGTAATTGAAAACTCCTCTTCTAGAGAGTAGCCACATATAGATCGTCATAGGAATTTACAGGAAAAGGGGAGATCCTAATTGAAAACTCGTCTTGCAAAGAGTAGGCCGATGCAGATCGTCATAGGAATTTGCAATTAAAAAATAAATCCTAATTAAAAACTCTTCTTCCAAAGAGTAGCTCGATGCAGACCGTCATAGAAGTTTATAGGAAAGGAGTAGATCCTAATTGAAAACTCCTCTTCCAAAGAGTAGGCAGATGCAGATCGTCGTAGGAAATTGTATGAAAGGAGTAGATCCTAATTGAAAACTCCTCTTCCAAAGAATAGGCAGATGCAGGTCGTCATAGGAATTTGCAGGAAAAGAATAGATCCTAATTAAAAACTCCTCTTCGAAAGAGTAGCTCGATGCAGATCGTCATAGGAATTTGTAGGAAAGGAGTAGATTCTAATTGAAAACTCTGCTTACAACAGAGTAGCCAGATGCAGATCGTCATAAGAATTTATAGGGAAAGGAGAGATCCTAATTGAAAACTCCTCTTCGAAAGAGTAGCTCGATGCAGATCGTCATAGGAATTCGTAGGAAAGGAGTAGATCCAAATTGAACACTCCTCTTCCAAAGAATAGCCAGATGCAGATCGTCATAAGAATTTGTAGGTAAAGGCGAGATCCTAATTGAATACCCCTATTTCAGACAAGTAGAGAGATGCAGATCGTCATGCGAATTTACAGGAAAAAGGGAAGTTCATAATTGAAATCGTTTCCTTCAGAAGAATAAACAGATGCGGATCGTCATAGCAATTCACAGGAAAAAGGGAGATCATAATTGAAATCTTTTAATTCAGAAGAATAGACAGATGCAGATCGTTATAGGAATTTATAGGCCATGAGGAGATCCGAAATCATATCTTCTCTTCCAGAAGATTAGACAGATGGGGATCGCCATAAGAATTTGTAGGAAAAGGTAGGAATTTACGGGAAAAGTTAATATCATAATTGAAAACTGTTCTTTCAGATGAGTAGACAGATGCAGATCGTCACAGAAATTTTCAAGAACAAGGGGAGATTCTAGTTGAAAACTTTGCTTCTTCAAGAGTAGACCGATGCAGATCGTCATAGGAATGTAGAGGAAACAGTCAGATCATAGGGCAGACGGAAATCTTAATACAAATTCACGTCTTGTGTTTTGGCTCGTTACTGGTAGTGGTGCTTTGTTGCCCCTCGGGCACTTTCCAACGTGTTATTTCCCACCTGCCGCTGATCCTGCGAGCACAGGAAACACATTCAGGTGTACACTACCGCAGAATGAATTCAGACAGTGAAAGTGAGCAGCCAAGGATTGATATTTCCTTCGCGAATTCCGCAGTCCCATCGAATTTCGACTTTGCTATTGTTGATGAAGGCGCAGAAGCTAGCCCAAGCAGTCCCGTCCAAGACAGTGAATTGATTGAAATCGCATCCTCACAGGACAGCGTGCGTCAGCATGGGTCTGGCTTGCCAAGCGCGTCTGCAGAAGTAGATTGTGAGCGCTCGCGCTCGCGTGGACAGTTGCGGGATCTCTGTCGCGCGGGCCTACGTGCCGCAATGGATCAGAGCGAATCAGGCGCCTTAGTTCCCATGGGCGAACCAGATGCAGATGCGGATGGCGCATTGTCGCAAACATTCAATTCGTTGGCTTCAAGTTTGCGTTCCGTCACAGCTGCAATGGAAGGTCACCAAAAAATGGCAGAACTTCAGGCATCGCAGCTGAAAGAAGCGAAGGATAGAGAAACCATGCACATTGCACAGCTGATGGAAAAGGACAAGACAATAGCAAATCAACAACTCGATCTGCTCCGTGCGAACGAGACAGCTAGGGAATTGGAGACAAGGCTCCGCCAAGCCGACGAGACTTCCGGAACAGCAGTCAATCAGCTGTGGGAGAGACGTATTGAAGCGGCTAAAGAGGAATTGCGCGACGAAATGCGAAACATTTTGTCTTCCACAGTGTGTGGTACGGATCAGAGGCTCTCTATAGCGGCTTCAGCCACCATATCTCAAATGGCGCTGGATGACAAAGGCCAATTCCATGATATATGGAAATGTTTGGTTGTTTTATATCACATTATATTCCAAAAAGAAAACATCTATATGCATTTCAAGGACGAACTTACTCCCTGGAGAAGAACTCAAAGTGTCAACAAAAGAGGCATCCAGCTGAGTGTACAAGGTAAACAGAAAATGGAAAAGTACGACAAGGAAATACAGCATGTCATTGACAATCGGAAAAGAAGTAAGGACTATTTAGATGCAGAGTGGCAAAATCTTGTGAGGGTCTATAAAAAGTTGTGGCCTTTCAAAGGCCCCGCGCCAGAAGCATTGGATTGGTGGAGTTTATCTACCCAAGAACTATTACAAGCAGTGCCTCGGACTAATCTTTATTTTATTTTCATTTAACAATGTTGTTATCAAAATGCATAAAAAACATGATACCATCATATATAAACATAGTTTAACCCAATGACAGGTACTGAACTGTGATCGTCGCCTGGCACCGTCACATCCAGAGCCATTCATACCGCCGATTTCTCGCAGAGCAAATGTCTTGAGATCGAGCCTATACAATGCCATCCTTCATTCTGAAGATCACTTCCAACTGCCTTGGGCAATGAACGTCCTACGATCCAAAATTGACGAAGAACTGAAAACACACAACTTTGGTAAATCTGATGGTGTTTGTGGTGTCGTTCATGTCTTGAACTTGAAATCCAGAACAGCAACAGTGTTAAAGGTCGGATGCAGCTCGTACCCGAAGCTTTTCGATAAGCATGGTACATTGAAAAGATACAAAAACGTCTTTGCGCCAATGGCTCTGGAACAGGTTGAGGCCATTCATATCTATCAGAGCCCACGGCGAGCACAGCAGGTTGAGGAGGAACTTCATCGGCAACTACGAGGAAAATCTGGAAATGTGAATCCACATAATGTCACAAGCAGAGAACTGTATAAAGTCGAGCACTTGGAAGCAATCTTGGGACTTCTACATGAAATTGAACAGAAACCTTCCTGCCAGGAAATGACCAGTCGGCCAACCAAAAAGGGACATGAAAATATTCTCAAGCGTGCGGGTCGCAAGTAACTATGGTGTCGAGAGTGAAGCGAATAGATTCTCACTGTAGGATCTCAATAGTCAATCTGCCGTCGTGCACTCTCTCGGAGAAGAATATTGCCGGAAAAAAAATGTGCTGTTACCATTCACAGCTTCATTTAAAATTCACATGTTTTGTTCATGGTGTAACAAGAGCATCCAACATGATCTAACCTTTGCCAGCATGTTTTGCCTCGACACGTGACCCCCTACAGTTGTATCAGTGGCTGACATGACCACTACACTAGGTGCTGGTACACTACATGAATGGGATTGAATGGGCTTTGTTTGTGTGGTGAGAGATTACTTGGCAGCCGATGACAATATCAGCTGGGTATTGATGGATTCCGCAGCGCAGCTGTCTTAGCTGATACGGCCCAGCTATTGACAAATCCAAGGTGAACAGTGAACAGGGCCGAAGGTCGAAGTCACGTCACATCGCAGATGTCCAACAACCGGGCTATGCGCAATTCTTGTTACACAGGCACAGGCGCTGAGAGGTTGGATGCTTCAAAAACTCCAGTTCAGAGTGCTGGCCTTCAAATGCTAGGGTGAATGCGAGGTAGACATATAGAGCAGAATGCCTTTATTCCATCATCTTCCATCCATATCTATACCATTCAAACTCCATTGCATTTACATCAGACAAATACAGCACCTGCAAATCTGCCTGCAGCCGCCCAGAGGCGTCAGATTTGAGGGGTTTCAGTTGGGTATGGGCCACAATTGTGCAGACATTGAGAAGGACGGATATTGACCGCTGTATTGAAAGTCTATTTCTTGAGACCCTAAATTGAACCCTATTTTGAGAAACAACTTTCAAACTTCAAGACCTTAAACTGACTTAAAAACATGTTCTGCATCCCTGTTTCGGACAATTCAGGGCAACCCCAACAGCACTCCATCTGCAAACGTAGTCAACGACGCCAGGAGGCAAACCCTCAGCAGCTTCAGTTTTGAGAAGAAACACACAAATATATTATAGTTTTTGCATGTTTTTGCCCATATTTGCAAGTGGATGGTCAGTGAGCCTCTCTTTCGAGAAACAGTTTGTGGTTTTTGACATTCCAACAGGGCCACTGTCGTTCCAAACTTACCATCCAGGTATGGCGGCACCCAATGCTTCCTCGGAGGGACATCATGTGATTTTGTCACCTTACCGCTTCGACGCCAATGAGCTGCGGTGGTTGCCCACTGGGGAAGCAGCGGCCAAAGTGCGCATGAGCAAAGAGGCCCGGGACGGCCCGGGACGGCCCGGGACGGCCCGGGACGGCAAGAGCTTCTCAAGTGCAAAGACACGTTGACTCGTTCCCACCAAAAGGACCAGAATGGACCAGACTACATTTAGTGAGACATTTGAGATCATTTGAGGATACATACATGAGGGTTTCCATAAATGGGGGGTACCCCTAAATCATCCACTTTAATTGGATTTTCCCTTATAAACCATCCATTTTGGATCATTTTGGGGTACCCCCATGGCTATGGAAACCCCCACATTGAAGACATTTGGATCAGCTGTAGGCAGCCAAGAATTGGCGCTTGGTCCTGGGAAATCAGAGCGTGGCGTTGTCGGAGATCCGCAGCACCTCGATGCTGTCGCCCAACTTCTTGGCTCCTCGGCTGTGGCCAAAATCTTCCAAGCTTGGAACATGGAACCGCTCGTTCAGAGTCTGTAAGAGACGTATAATACATAAATAATAAATATGTATATATATAATACATTATTATTATTATTGTTATTATTATTATTATTATTATTCGCGAGGATTTGCAGAACAACAGAAAGTCAGAAGGCAGAAGATCCGGTTTCATGGGTGTCTATGCATACCACACATGCAACGTACTGCAAACTGCCAGCAAGATCTGCCACGCCTTTGGCAGATCTTGGAGTTGGTGAAGCAAGGGCATGTTGGTCTTCGATGTGAAGATGAGTTGGGATCCCCAGGAGCTGTAGCACTGTGGGCTCTCGGCGGGAGTTGTTGCCACGTGACTACCATTTCTTGGAAGGATACGGAGCCAGTGTACTTTTTATTTCACTTTTTTCACTTTTTGCATGATATGATAAGCCACATTAAACGGTCAGACTCCATGGGTACCCATCCCCAAGCTTCGAGTGGAACCAGGTCCGGCTTGAAGCACTTCGTGGCTGAGCTCTCCAAGAGAAAAGCCGAGCCTTGGAGCAACGGGAGATGTCATGATTTCAGCCGTGGCCCAAAGCCTCAATGTTGCTGGTTTCTATCATTTCAGCTTATATGTATATATGTACATATACAATAATACTACAATATGTCTATATAGTATTATACAGTCGTTAATTTGTATATGATATAAATATATCCAGGTGAAAGGTGGCAGGTTGCCATAGAGACAGATGATGAAGATTCCCCATTGAACAAGAAGGATCTACAGTCACTCTGTAGGCCTGGTTTCAGAACAGTTGGATATGGATGAAAGTTATTCAAACTAATTTTGTCGCCCCAATGCGTGATTTATCAGAAAAGTTAATGCTTACTCTCAAAGATACATGCAATTGAACAGAAATGTGTGAGATGTCCTATGAACAGGGTTCAAACCTGTCAGAACACTAAGCCCGTGCTTGGTCTCACATCAAGATGTATCAGGCTTGAGCCCATACCGCATTCAGGATTACGAGCGCTTCGAGCAGTACGATCAGAGCAGCTCCTTGGCTCATTTGGGAACGCAGCTATCAGCGGGCCCCAAGCATTCCACTTATGCATCACCACCCATTATCCTCCTGAAGTCTTGCGATTGAGGACATTTCGAGGATCTTACTCTACAAAACTGTTTCTTTAAATGGTCACATATGTCACATATGCAAACAACTTTCAGACCTTTCTTGAGACCTCGATGGATTTTTCATGATTTTTCGTTCCAAACTGTGGGACTCTGCCAGTAAAAAATCACTGAATTCATCTGAATTCACTGAGGTGTGCAAAGCTATTTCCAGTACTATGCCAAGTTGGCCAACCAACAAAACATGCTTCAAGACGGAGTACGAACCTCCACCTACAACCGAGCCATTGCTGGGAAACTTAGCTTTTTGGAAGGCAGACCAAAGATGTTCTGTGGATGGGAAGCCCAAAGATGAGAAGCCCGGAAAGATCCGGAAAGTTGTTGCAACTTCTCTTGAAGTTACATGAAGTCCGAAAAAAATTCACCACTTCGAACTTCAGACCTTGATTTTAGATCGCTCCAGCCCTTCAAGACCATCCAAGACACAAATCCATATGCCACGGCCGTGTCTATGTCCAGCCTCAGGTGGAAAATGTCGATGACTTTCAAGGGAAGTTGGCCATGGATTTGGGTGCAGGAAGTGGCATCCTTTCCTTCTTTGCCGTGCAGGTGACCATGGGTTCATGGCGGGGATGAACATCTATACAGAACCAGCTATAAATTTGGGACTTCAAGAGGCTACAGGCTTTGGACCCCATACCCAATGATGTCTCAAAATGCAGATACCATGATCATAGGTAACACATGTAAAAACCATGATTTTCCATGGATAAAACATAGTAAAACACATGGGTAAAACATGGTAAAACTATTGGATTTATTTTATTTGTGCCAGGCAGGTGCCGAGAAGGTCTACGCGGTTGAGGCGCGGCGGCTTGGTGAGGCTGGCATGATTTGGTCCTTGGCGGATTTATATAGATGATACAATCCATGTATGGTATATGAAAGTATATATCGATAATATATAGCTAATATGTAGATAATATATTGATAATATGTAGATAATATGTACTAGTAGATAATATATATATATATATATATATAATTATATATAACATATATATATATATATGTATATACACACATATATATATAATTATATAATGTATAGATAATCCACATATTGGCATAGGTTGGCAGACAATATGATGTATGATGTATGGTATGATTGTATATATGATATATGGATTATGATATGTATGATGTGTATGATGTATTTTTGTGTACAATGTATTTTTGTGTACAATGTAGACTAATCAAAGGAAGTTTAGAAGTCAAACTTCCGACAATATGGACAGACGAAAAAGCAGAGGTGGGAAGAGTCAGAGAAGAGAAGAAGAAAGAAGATCAGAGAAGAGAAAGAGTGAGAGGAAAGAAGATGCAGGTGCGCGAACAGGTAGAAAAGTCGCGAAACACTGTGTTTTTCCAACAGACAGACAGACAGACAGGCAGGCAGGCAGACAGACATACATACATATGGTGCATTGTCTTGAACATCTTTCGTATGCACATGCAGATTCAGGCTTCCATTTGGGGGGCGTTTTTTTTTAATCTTGCGTTTCTTTTGCTTATAAAACCTGGCGAGAGACGACTACTGCATTGAACACTGCATTGGGGGGTTTGCGCTTGCTGGACCCAATTGATACTGCAACCCTACAACAGCCCTGCTCATCATAATCATCATCCCCATTTTCATCCTCATTCTCATCCTCAGCATCCTCATCATCCTCATCATCCTCTTCGTCCTCATCATCTCGTCATCAACTCATTCCTGTTACCATCACTTTCGTCATCATCAATTTTCTTCATCGTTATGGTCAGCAGCCTCATCAACGTCAAAAGGTTGGCACTGTTTGTAACTTGCAGCCGTTTGTGACTTGCAGCAACTCCAAGAAGCCGCGTGAGACCGTTGCTGCATTCCGACTTCACCTTGCTGTTCCCCGTGTACCATTACCACCCTACTCCAGCCCTGCTAGCTTTCGTACCTCCCTCCTGGCCTCAAGTAATTCTAGGAGCTTCAGTCTTGGGTGGCTGTGGTCAGCTTGCGAGCGGGATTGAGTGCTCCAACCAAACGCCATGATGCCCCCAGGAGGGGTATATAATCATGTTGCCCTGCCCTGAAGGGGGCGTATACTATCCATGATCAGTGTAGAAACTTCAGTCTGGGGCTGCATGAGGGTTTGGCAAACCAAATGCGTAAACACATGTGGAAGCGCCAAATACATAAATATGTTGCAGCTTTCTGAAGCCCAAAGGATGTTAGACTCAGGGTGAACGTTGAAACAGCAACTTCGTCAAGTACACCACATTTCTTTTTGTTGACCCTTCGAATCACCCACTTTTGCTTGTCACGCAACGCCTCGCCCCGCAGGTGAAAACCCTTGCCGTTCAATTGCCAGAAACTTCAGTTTGGGGCTGCATGAGAGTTTGGCAAACCAAATGCATAAACAAATTTGGAAGCGCCAGTGTGTGGGCATTGGGCACCATTTGGCAGTTTGTGCCGGTTCCATTAATTAATTGCTTTCACATATTTCCACATTGCAAACCTTATAGTCTCCTTGCCCCGTCGTTTCGCACACAAGACGGCCAAGAATCTTATTCAGACCCTTTGTCATAATGATCCAACGCACCGCCTGGCAAGCATTGAAGGAATCCAGGCGAGTTCATTCATGAAGGATTTTGGCTGGGAACGCCTGGGGTCGCCTCTCAGAAGAAAATCAATGTTTTCACCTTCGGAACTTCTTGGTTTCTTATTTACTGGGAAGCAAACCGCATGAGGTCCCATGTGCCAATTTTTTTGTAGCGGGTGTGTCGAACCCAGGACTGTGCCCATCACAAAGAGCCCTGTTTCTGACAAAGTTCTGGAACAGTTGGGGGAACCTTGCGAGTTGCCTGTGGTCGCGGCTGCAAGCTCTCCGCGACAGGCTCAATTGAATGGAGCTCAGCAGAAGGCACAAGCCAAATTTCTGAAAAGATTCCAGAAGAAGTGATGTGGACCGAATGGGGGGGTGGAGTGGTTTTCATTTTTTTTGGCTACTTTGAATAGCTGTAGCTGCTGGATAAAAATGGTCCGTTCTGCTTGATCAAGAGTGCCGCTTGTATCAGATGATGTTGCGCCACATCGCCAATTGGCCATTGCCAGCTGTTTGGCTCGCTAAAGTGGCGCGTGCAGAGCCATCTGGATGAGAGATAAAAAATTGCACGCTGTTGTGGCGCGAAGCACATTTGGAAGTGTAAAAGCACCTCACGTCCGGAGCAGTTTTGAAATTGAGATGTCGAAACGAGTTTTGTGGCGCGAAGCACATGTCGAAGTCAAAATGCACAAAACTCCTCAGCCTCGGAGCACTTTTGGAAGTTGAGATGTGCACGCTGTTGTGGCGCGAAGCACATTTCCAAGTCAAAATGTTAAAAACACCACATGTTCGGACCACTTTTGGACGTTCAGATGTCGTTTCCCGCGGCAGGCGCAAGGGATTGTGCACCTTGTCAAAAGTGAGCAAACGTGAGGGTTTTGTAGCAGTTTCAAAGGCGTTGGCAGGCGTGGGACATTTGAATTGAAGAGGATCTGCAAAAATGCATTTTCCGTGGCAGGCGCAGTACAAGAGACATGCTCATCAGAGATGTTAGGAGGTCCGGGCGCTCAAGACGCAATGGTACGAGGCCGTCAGCTCTGGATTCAACTTTCCATTTTTGAAGGAAGTCTTCGCAGAATTGTTTCGTTTTTGATATTGTCAACTTGAAAAATTGAGGAAGTCTCGCAGAATTGCTTCCTTTTTGACGTTATCAAGTTCAAAAGTTGAGAAAGTCTCGCAGAATTGCTGCGCTTCTGATGTTGTCAATTTCAAAAATTGAGGAAGTCTCGCAGAATAGCTTCGTTTTCAAACTTGCAGATAGATAGATAGATAGCTAGATAGCTAGATAGACAGCTACAAGTACAGTTAATTGCAACTACAGCTACAACTACTTCTGCAACTACAACTACAACTGCACTACACGCCACTACAGCTACAACTACCCTACAGTACACTAATTACACTACACTACGGCAATTACACTACACTACACTAATTACACTTTGCTACACTACACTAATTACACTGCAACTATAGCTACAGCTGCAGCTACTATGACTACTACAGCTACAGCTACAACGTCAACTACAGTACATCACACTACCCTACGCTACACTAGTTACATTACACTACGCTACACTAGACTACAGTAGACTACAACTACAGCTACAACTACAACTACAACTACATTGCACAACACTACGCTACACGAATTACACCACACTACTGCACCACACTGCACTACACTGCACTACACTGTAACAGCACATGGCATTACATTACACTGTGCGCTACACTCATTATAGCACACCACAGCTACATCTGCAACTACACTACACCGGCGCTCAGCGCCGAAACCGTTTCGAAACGTTCCGTTTGCACAGAAACTTAGGCTAGTAAGAGTCATTCGCGAGCCCCGCAGCGTGCTGATTCCAGCACGTCGGTCTAAGAGAGGTCAGGCGTTACATGGGTGGCTCAATAGGCCCGTATGCCGGACCAGTCTCTTCTTCGGCCTGGACGGGATAGTGCACGCTCCGCAAGGCCGGTGCAAAGTAAGTAGTGTCCCCCCTTGGTCGGAGCCTAAAGGTAGACAGTCATGCGACATTGGCCCAAGATCCTTGCCCATGAGCCGATCTTCCTGAATGTCAGTGGCTTTGGAGGAGCCTACAAGTACGTTTACCAGGAATCAGTCCTGGCACACGGACTGACAATGAAGATCTACATCCACTGCCATGCGAAGAACTATCCAGTGGGAATCATTATCCACACTGGAAATCCCACCACGTGCTGCGCCTGCCACGCAAGACAGCCGCGGCTCAACGGCGTCAACGGCGTCAAGCAACCCTCCAGAGAGTCACCAAGTGCTGCGCCTGCCACGCGAGACAGCAACGGCGTCAACGGCGTCAAGCACCCTCGAGAGAGTCACCAAGTGCTGCGCCTGCCACGCAACGCAGCCGCGGCATCAACGGCGTCAACAACGTCAACGGCGTCAACGGCGTCAAGCAGCCTTCCAGAGACAGCCGCGGCGTCAACGGCGTCAACGGCGTCAAGCAGCCCCCAGAGAGTCACCACACCAGCGAAGCGACTTCCGAAGTCCGAACCTCAAAGATTCATGCCGCAGTCAGTTGCTTGATGTTGCTTGGTAACTTGCGAGCTTTGAAGTTATCGATGTTCGTAGGTAGAACACCCCAAGATCTAAGAAATAAATGCTGCTGCACAGGTTCGACGCCTGACAATCCCAGAAGCAAGAGTTGCGGTGCAAGCCTCAGAACGGCAGCCGGCCGAGCAACAGAGAAGCAACATGTTTGCAGTATATAATAGACAATCATGCAGTTGTGTATCGGTTGCGTCTCTTCATTTCCTGCACGGTGGCGTGCAGGCCGGAGCAGCCGTCTAACCGCGCGAGCAACAAACTAACCTTAGTGAACAAAACGAGGTCCAAACTTCAGCGCCGTCGTGGTTGTTCACACACGTCTCGAAAAAAGTTTCGGCCCCTGCCCCTTGCACGCCTAGTGCTGGACTGCAGTGCACACGAAGCTGGTGTGCCGGGTCCTCAGGTAGACCAAGGAAGCGTCTGAGAACTTAAGACTTCCTGTTTGGACATCGCCTTCCTCCGCGAGGGCTTTGGAACCTGGAGCAGCTCCTGCCCAGCGACCCGAGCCCTCTCCAGAACAACGCAGTCCTGGTCACCCAGCTCGCGCGGGCCTGAGAGGCGACGCGGACCGACGCACGCCAACTGAGGCGCAAGCTCTGCAAGTCTCCGAGGAAGCCGTCGAGACCTGGTTCCGGAGATCACAAGCTGGCTGCGGCTAAAGCCCGTGCACCCGAACCTGGACAACAGCATCCAGGCCAGGAACGCAGCTTGACTACCTGCGTCTTCCTAAGTCTTCGCTGGTATTGTGCCTCACGTGTCGATAAAGTCTCGATAGCTGGTACCTTTTGTGACTTCTTTTCCGAGGGGCATCCCGCGTTCATTTCAGCTGCGGCGGTTCCCAAAGCGACCGTTGATCGGCGGCCGGGCACACACGAGCCTTACAAAATGATCGCATTTGCTGGCATTTTTGGGATGCTAGAGATCAGACTTGCAAAAGTATGGTTGAATCATGTTGAATCCCACTTGTTGCAAGTTTCGTCTGAAGCTTGTTGTTTAACATAGGTCAGCAAACGGGGTCTCATGGCAGTAAGCCGCTAAATCCATTCTTGGAGATATATGATGGTTGGGGATGTGGCCCCGCATGGTGGTAATATTATATATATACAGATACATATATAATATAATATATACATATAATATAATATATATAGTATAATATTATTTGATATATAATAATGTTTTTATAATATATATATATATAATCAATAAAATACACACGCATATATATATATGTATTATATATAATATTTATAATATATATATAATTTATAATACACACATATATATATATATATATGTAGTATTTGTAACACATATGCATCTATATATATAATATATATATAATATATATATATATAATATATATAATATATGGTTTTCTCGTTTACTTCTTTGAAAATTACATTTGATTCTCGTTTTTGGTTGCCTCTGCCATCCCCCTGACTCTGAAGAAAAACGAAACAAAAAAACAACAAATCCACTAAACATATATAAGTAAGGTAAGTGCCACGCCTGCCACGCAAAAGCAGCGCGACTGTCACCAAGTGCCACGCCTGCCACACAAGAGCGGCATCAATGTCACCAAATGCCACGTGTGCCACGCAAAAACACCATCAAAGTCACCAAATGCCACGTCCGCCACGCAAAATACCGCGGCGTCACGCGTTGTGTGTGTGTGAATGTGAAAGAAATGCGTGTGGAAGTGGAAGAGTTGTGCGAGACAATGTTGTGTGTGTGTGTGTGTCGGGAACAGTTGTGTGTGACAAATTGTGTGTGCGTGACAGTTGTGCATGAAACAGTTGTGTGAGACAATGTTGTGTGTGAAATAGTTGTGTGTGACAAAGTTGTGCGTGACAAAGGTGTGTGTGAAAGAATGGTGTGGATCCAAGTTGGATCAATGCTGGATGCATGTTGGATCCGTATTCTCTCAGTCAAATTTTGGTTTTATATTTTTGCGCTGACCATTCCATGGGTTTGGTGACCAAACCATTCAATATCAAAGCACGAACACCCACACATCAACCCATATTTAACTAGATGTCAATATATTTCATATGCCATAATTCATATTTGAACATATTTCATCATATTTCACCTACCTCCATGACATGATGTATCCCTATTTCCTCAGAAAACTTTCAACCTCGGATGGCAGGCCTCATCCATGGGTGAAGTAGTGCGACTGCTGGCAGATGCCAACGCCTTTCTCACCAAGAAAATAGAGGTTGGGGTCCTGGTTATGGGATGGGCAGCGGGTCGAAATCATAGGATGGAAAAAACTACGGTTTACGATACTTTTACTATGGTTTGCGCTTTGGTTTTCTATGGTCTACTATGGTCTACTTACTAAACATGGGTTTAGAGCTGTGGTCCCATCGGTCATAAACTTAAGCCATCTTAAACCCATACAGTACCCATACATAAGTATATACACAACTCAACCAACAAGATCCAACACTAATGCCATGCGCCTACTGGTAAACCACCGCAAATGGGACTCCAAAATGAAAGAAAAATCTAGCTGTAAACCAGGGTTTCTCGGGGTTGCTTTTCGATACGGGAAGGATTCCCTGGCATTTTGGAATATTGTGGACCACCGATGATTACAGATGTCCCAACTCGGCTTGGATTGATGACGAACCCATCCGCTGCCAGTGAGTGAGTAATAGCATCCATACCAGCTAGGAATTATGTTGCAAAATGTTGCCAATATCATCGATCATGGATGGCTTCGTTTAGGGTGGAGGACACATTTTTTTTCAAAAAGGAGTTCATATGGATGACCACCTTGCTGTTGATGATGTGTGTTTCCCAAGCCCGAGCATGCTTTTTTAATAGGCGGGCAAGTATCAACCATCAAACTCGGGATTTGATAAGTTCGCAATGTTGCAACATATCCATCCGTTGATTTCCCTTGCAACATATCCATCCGTTGATTTCCATTTACATGTCCAAAAAGATTCCAACATATTGATCATCATCCATCATCCATCATCCATCATCCTCATCTTCATTACTTCCATTAATCTATTTCCATTTATATCCTCAGTATATTGATCATTCAGAATCATTCACTGTCTATCCATATCCATCTATCCACCTATCCATATCTATCCAATCTCTTGAGAGTTCCCCGACGGCAAGTCCCAGGTGATCAACCGACCAGTTGAAACCATCACGGCTGCGGAGCTGGATGGGAAGGCGTGATTCAAAGGTCGTGCGTTCCGGAGGTACAGGGTTTCAATATGTTTCGACGTTTTGACCCGTAACATATGATTATATATATATATATTATACATTATATATAATTATATATATTATTATTATATATATAATTATATATTTGGGCATCATTCTGATGATATTTTTTTGGGATTCTTTAAATCTGCCATTTGACAGGTGGATGTGCTGGTCTCGGAGCCGATCGGAACCTTCCTCTTCAACGAAAGGAACGTCCGCCACGTCGCCACCAGTGGGTTGGATGTCGACCTATGGCAATAAATGCCATAGGCCCCAAAAAATCTGCAATTTGATAATTTTGATATATTTTTTATTATTTATTTGATGGTCTATTTTAGGACTGGGCATTCTGCAACTAAGTGAAAGTAGTGAAACTGGAACTTAGAATTTGAATCCTGCAACTGAGTGAAATTAGTCGAATGTCATCCGTAAGAGAACGGTATCCCACAATCAATTTCTGGTGACTCCATCTTTCAGTCGAGACCACAAAGAGCAGGGGGTGAACAACATGTTCAAGGGGGTTTTCATGGTAGAAATTTCAGCAGAGACATTGAACACACCAATCAATTGTTATCCCAAAACGACTTTCCAGCAACGAGTTGCCATCCTCCAGTCATCCTCCAGGATGATCGAAAGCTACCTCTGCGCGCGCGATCGCTTCCTAAAGCCTGGCGGGAAGATGTTTCCGAATGCTGGAACCCTCTGCACCTTGGCTTCGCGACAGACTTTGAATGACTTTGACGTACTTTGACACCTGGGATGGAGGGAGATGGAGTTTGGATGGAGTTGGATAGTCATTACAAGATCTTCTCAATGAAGATGTTAGGTTCGAATGGCTTAGACACTGAATATGTCAGTACTTCTATATATAGTACTTATACTCAATAGAATTGGCATCCTGGGACGTGAAATGTCAAGCAGGAAGCTCATGAATTTCCAGTTTTGAGTTTCCAAGTCACAACACAGCGGCCATTTCAAAATAGGCTTCCCTACCGTCCCAAAGGCGTTGCGCCCTTCTCTGACTCCTTGCTTCATTGGGAGCAGGCCAACAAGCATCTTGGCCAAAGGAGCCGCCGGAAAATGTGATGTGACTTCCATCACTGGTTATATCTCTGTTGCTAAGCTTCGGCTACAAGTCACAGTCCCGATTTGCAAGCAAGCGTGAGTGCATCATCTAAATATCTAAAACAACATTACCGCAGCAGATGCTGTAGGGTTTTCATGTCATATCATACCCCTCAAAACCTGACTTGGGGAGGGGCAGTGTTGCCTCATCCTGGTGGTAACCGGCATGTCATGGCTTGGCCCAGGAATGGATTTTGGAAAAACACAAACTTCTATGGCATTGACCTGTCTGCGGCTGTCCAAAGATGTGCAAAGCCGCTCGAGCAATCTTGGGTCCTAATTATTTTTTGCAGCTTGTGTTTGCCCCAAGAGGATCCAAAATTGCAAAACTTAGGCTCTGCAAAAACAGGGATAAAGACAGCGTTTGTAGCCCTCAAAAGCACAAGCCTGACTCTTCACGTTTATTTATTTATTTTTCTTGATTTGTCCAGAGTGCCAGGGAGCACTTCCGACAGCCCATTGTGGACTACATCAATCCGGAGTGCTTGGTGTCCAAAGCCATCGAAACGAGGTGCGTGGCAGTGACTGCTGTGCAACATGAGAGTCAAACAAAGGGAGAATGATGCAGATAGATACCAATTGGACCCAATTGGCCATTTATTCTCATTGATATATACATAAAAGTGATACGAATTCTTCTGACCAGTGTTGAGGACAAGATGTTAGTCTTTCACATTTTTCCATTTTTTTGCAAACATTTTCAGAGACCCATCCTCCATATCACCAATGATACCATCTGGTACTCAAACATGGCTTGCTGGACATTTCCTCAAAAATAAAGACTAGTTGCCAATATATTCTTATAATATAATACATATTATATATAATAGATATATATATTTATAATATAATATATATAATATAATATATATAATATATATAATATATAATATATATATATAATATAATATATAATATATAATATATCATATATCATATATCATATTTAATATATAATATACAATATATCATATATCATATATCATATATCATATTTAATATATCATATATAATATATTACATCATATATAATATTAATATATCATATAAAATAAATAATATTAATATATCATCTATAATATATATTATATATCATATATTTTAAATCATATACAATACATCATATATAATATATCATATATACTACATATATATATATGTCACATATAATATATCATTTAAAATATATCATAATATATATATATATATATTAAATAATATGTATATATATATTATATCATATAATATATATATATATATAATATACCATATATAATACATAATTCATCATATAATATATAGTATATCATGTATAATATATATAATATATATAATATATCATATATAATATACATAATATATATAATATATATAATATATATAATATATAATATATATATATATTATATCATATAATATATATATATATAATCTATCATATATAATATAATATATATATATTTTATAATATATATAATAAATAAATATAATATAATATATATATAATATATAATATATAATTTACAATATATAAAATATAAGATATAATATATAATATGTAATACATAATATGTAATATATTATATTTAATATCTATTCTATAATATATAATATATAATTATATATACACATATATGATATACATATATAATACATATATATATATACACAATACACACACATATATATATATATATAATATATATATATATGTATTATAACATAATCATGCTCATTTCCTGAGCGGATTTACCATTTGCTGTTCCCATAAACTTCTCCACCGGTCCAGGTTTGATTTCATGACCATCTCGGTGGAGTCGCTGCAAAAGTTGGCAGCCCAGATCCCTGAAATCCCCATAGCTTGGGAACAAAACTCATGGTCAAACCATGGTTAAACCACAGTTTGGTGAGATTCACACACGAATCAGCCGAATGAGCCAAGGATTGAGATTCCATTCGACTTCGAAATCTCACAGCCATGCTTGGTGAGAGACACAGACTCGAAACAGACTGTGGCGACAGTGGCAATAATAGTGCAAGAGATTCGTAGTTCAATTTATTTGAATGACAGGGATTTAGGGATGTCTCATGTTTCGAGCATGGCCAAATGCATCCAGAAAGATGATATTGAGGGCAACGCCCAATGTGCATGAAGTAGGGCGACATGCTGCGAGTCAGACTTGATCTACTTGATCTAGAGTAGGAGGTCCCATGTCCCATCTTTATCCATCTTCATGATACCCTCTGGTAAACTAACATAGCTATTGAAAATGGCCATTTATAGTTGATTTACCCATAAAATCTGGTGATTTTCCATCGTTTTTTGTATGTTTACTAGAGGGTAATGAACAGGTTGGCCTGAACATCACCGGTAGCAATGGTAACGTGATCTGGCTGACCAAGGTGCACGGACTGGCGGGATGGTTTGATGCCTACTTCGAGGGCAGCAACCAGACAGTGGTCCTCTCCACAGCCCCATGGTGTTCTGGCACCCACTGGCAGCTCGGTTACCTCGGAGCTGGAACCAGGGTGCTACGCATCGTTCCATTGGCTTCACCATGCTTCACCGAAGATCTCAGATAACTGAATCCAGGCATCTCCGATTTCACGGATTCTTTCACAAGGCCAATCTCTGCAAATCTCTCTTTTCCGTTGAGTTTTGGACATCACCTTTGAGATCCTTTGAGTGTTGACTGATGAACCGTCATAATCCCCAAAAGGCGGCCTTTTGTATAATTTCATAATATTTCATATATTCTTATGGTGATGACCAATGCTTTTTGGGGAAATCTCCCGGGATATTTGAAGAAAACCATGCCGTATTCGCCCAGGTACCAGATTCGCTTCCTCCTGGAAGTTCCCTTAGCCGTCAATGCTGGGCAACATGTGGAGGGGACGCTCAAGATGGAGGCTTTCCAGCGCTGTTGGTTGAGTTGGGGGGTCAAAAACTACCCTCTGGTAAACTAACATAACTATGGAAAATCACAATTTTCAATGGCAAATAAATGGTGATTTTCCATAGCTATGTTAAATTACCATAGGGCACCCTTTTTTATACCCTGTATTAATATTGGGAGTTGGAGATTGTCAGACTATCATAATCCATATGGGACATCTGTGGATTTGCACAACCCTCGTGGGGAAATAGTAAAAAATATATTTTAATTTTTGAGCAACCTGGGTAACTACTTAAAGCATTGGAAAACTTGTATGAACCATTGGAATCAAATCGCTGCACTTTGGAATTATCATGCCGTGCACGGTTTTGAACAACATGTCAAAATGTAGAGCCCTGATGGACAAAACAAAGGCCAACAGGTTTTTGCATATCAGCCCTTGCTTGTGTGCTGCTGGCACAACTCTTCCACGTGGCCGGTCACAAGAAGGTAACCAAAAATTAAAAACACAACTGATACATATTTGGCTCGTTTCTCTTTGGCGGCGAGATTTATCAACACCAGTTCTTTGAAATAAGAATTCTACATACTATAGGTACTTACATATATTACATTACATTACATTGCATTGCATTGCGTTGCATTGCTTACATTACATACATACATGCATGCATACATACATATGTTCGTTTCTTTTTGTTTTTGCGGGGAGGTTCAAAAAAAATATAACGCACAATCTATATAGGTTTGTGTATACTTACCTATGTGCCGTTCCGCGAAAATTGCATGCATTTTTCTGGTTGGGCTCAGGAACTCATAATGTTGTTGTCGAGCGTGTGTGCGTTAGAAATCAAAGCAAAACAAAATAACATTATTTGAACAGTTTTGTTAGCTGTTTCTTGGTGCACACTCCGGACAAAATCCACTACATTTTAAAACTTTCAAAAACGTTTTCTTTTTGGATGTTTCCAGGGCCAGCTCAAAGAAAACAAATAGACAACATAGGACAGATTTTCAGCGGCTTTTTAAGCACTTGTTTTCTGGGCCCAAATCCAAGCAACATATGAATGTTTGAAAAATGAAAGCAACATTGCTGGCAGGTTTTTTTTGCGTGCCTTTTTCTGGTGAGATCTCCGCAAAACAAACCAAAACAGCTGTATTATGTCGCCCAATTTCCCATGACCAGCCCTCCAAAAAAAACTATATATAATATATATATATATTATATATATATTATATATAAATTATATTATATTATATATTATATTATATTTATATATACATTATATTATATTATATTATTATATTATATTATATTATATTATATATATATATTTGTTCAATTTTTTTGCCGCAGATTTTCCCGCGACCAGCCGTCCAAAAAAATAAACATATTTGTTCGATTTTTCCGCAGCCAGCCCTCCCCTCTCAACCGAAAAAAAAACAAACATACATTTTGTTCATTTTTTTGTCACCGATTTGCCCGGGGCCAGCCCTCCAAAAAATATAAGTTTGAAAAACATACAACATATATATGTGTTGATTTTCCCGCCACCAGCTCTAAAAAAAATATAAGTTTAAAAAAAACAAAACTCACTTATATTTTTTTTTCAGTTTTTTTGCCGCTGATTTTCCCGCGACCAGCCTTCCAAAAAATATAAGTTTTAACAAAATTAAACTTATATTTTTCAGTTTTTTTTGCCGCCGATTTTCCCGCGACCAGCCCTCCAAAAAATATATGTTTTTAAAAAATAAAACTGATATGTTTTTCACATTTTTTTCCGCCGATTTTCCAGCAACCAGCCCTCCAAAAAATATAAGTTAAATATATATATATATATATTTCAGTTTTTTTGCCGCTGGTTTTCCCGCGACCAGCCCTCAAAAAAATATAAGTTTAAAAAAAAAACGCATTTTTTGCAGTTTTTTTGCCGCCGATTTTCCCGCGACCAGCCCTCCAAAAAATATAAGTTTTAAAAAAATAAAACTTATATATTGTTTTCCGTTTTTTTGCCGCCGATTTTCCCGCGACCAGCCCTCCAAAAAATATAAGTTTTTAAAAAATAAAACTTATATTTTTTCAGTTATTTTTGCCGCCGATTTTCCCGCGACCAGCCCTCCAAAAAATATAAGTTTTAAAAAGATAAAACTTATATTTTTTCAGTTTTTTTGCCGCCAATTTTCCCGCGACCAGCCCTCCAAAAAATATAAGTTTTAAAAAAATAAAACTTACATTTCTTCAGTTTTTTTTGCCGCCGATTTTCCCGCGACCAGCCCTCCAAAAAATATAAGTTTTAAACAAATAAAACTTATATTTTTTTCAGTTTTTTTTGCCGCCGATTTTCCAGCGACCAGCCCTCCCAAAAATATAAGTTTTAAAAAAATAAAACTTATATTTTTTTTCAGATTTTTTTGCCGCTGATTTTCTCGCGACCAGCCCTCCAAAAAATATAAGTTTGAAAAAAATAAAACTTATATGTTTTTTCAGTTTTTTTTGCCGCCGATTTTCCCGCGACCAGCCCTCCAAAAAATATAAGTTTTAAAAAAATAAAACTTATATTTTTTTTCAGTTTTTTTTGCCGCCGATTTTCCCGCGACCAGCCCTCCCAAAAATATAAGTTTTAAAAAAATATAACTTATATTTTTTTTCAGATTTTTTTGCCGCCGATTTTCTCGCGACCAGCCCTCCAAAAAATATAAGTTTTAAAAAAATAAAACTTATATTTTTTCAGATTTTTTTGCCGCCGATTTTCCCGCGACTAGCCCTCACAAAAATATAAGTTTTTAAAAAATAAAACATATATTTTTTTCAGTTTTTTTTGCCGCCGATTTTCCAGCGACCAGCCCTCCAAAAAATATATGTTTAAAAAAAATAAAACTTATATTTTTTCAGTTTTTTTTGCCGCCGATTTTCCCGCGACCAGCCCTCAAAAAAATATAAGTTTAAAAAAAAAAACGCATTTTTTGCAGTTTTTTTGCCGCAGATTTTCCTGCGAGCAGCCTTCCAGGCAAACAATAGTCGGAAAGTTTTAAGTCCTCGGTCGAAAAAATATAATCCCGAAAACAAATATAAGTTTTTTTTTTTTAAAACTTATAATTTACAATATTTTTTTTGGAGAAACTCATTCACATGAATCAGTTTTTTCGAAGGGAAACCCTACCAAAAACCTAGGTTCAGATGAATGGACATTTTCATAAAGCACAAAATGTGCATTCATCTGAACCTAGCTTTTTAGTAGGATTTCCCTTAAAAAAGAACTGATTCATGTGAATGAATTTTTCTCCAAAAAATATTATAAATTATAAGTTTTTTTTAAAAAAAAACTTATATTTTTTTTCGGGATTATATTTTTTCGACCGAGGACTTAAAACTTTCCGACTATTGTTTGCCTGGAAGGCTGCTCGCAGGAAAATCTGCGGCAAAAAAACTGCAAAAAATGCGTTTTTTTTTTTTTAAACTTATATTTTTTTGAGGGCTGGTCGCGGGAAAATCGGCGGCAAAAAAAACTGAAAAAATATAAGTTTTATTTTTTTAAAACTTATATTTTTTGGAGGGCTGGTCGCTGGAAAATCGGCGGCAAAAAAAACTGAAAAAAATATAAGTTTTATTTTTTTTAAAACTTATATTTTTTGGAGGGCTGGTCGCGGGAAAATCGGCGGCAAAAAAAACTGAAAAAATATAAGTTTTATTTTTTAAAAACATATATTTTTTGGAGGGCTGGTCGCGGGAAAATCGGCGGCAAAAAAATCTGAAAAAAATATAAGTTTTATTTTTTTTAAACTTATATTTTTTTGAGGGCTGGTCGCGGGAAAATCGGCGGCAAAAAACACTGAAAAAAAATATGTTTTATTTTTTTTTAAACTTATATTTTTTGGAGGGCTGGTCGCGGGAAAATCGGCGGCAAAAAAAACTAAAAAAAAATATAAGTTATATTTTTTTTAAAACTTATATTTTTGGGAGGGCTGGTCGCGGGAAAATCGGCGGCAAAAAATCTGAAAAAAATATAAGTTTTATTTTTTCAAATTTTATATTTTTTGGAGGGCTGGTCGCGGGAAAATCGGCGGCAAAAAAAACTGAAAAAAAATATAAGTTTTATTTTTTTAAAACTTATATTTTTGGGAGGGCTGGTCGCTGGAAAATCGGCGGCAAAAAAAACTGAAAAACATATAAGTTTTATTTTTTTAAAACTTATATTTTTTGGAGGGCTGGTTGCTAGAAAATCGGCGGCAAAAAAAACTGAAAGAATATAAGTTTTATTTTTTTAAAACTTATATTTTTTGGAGGGCTGGTCGCGGGAAAATCGGCGGCAAAAAAAACTGAAAAAAAAATATAAGTTTTATTTTTTTAAAACTTATATTTTTGGGAGGGCTGGTCGCGGGAAAATCGGCGGCAAAAAAACTGAAAAAAAATATAAGTTTTATTTTTTTTAAACTTATATTTTTTGGAGGGCTGGTCGCGGGAAAATCGGCGGCAAAAAACTGAAAAAAAATATAAGTTTTATTTTTTTAAAACTTATATTTTTTGGAGGGATGGTCGCGGGAAAATCATCGGCAAAAAAGCTGAAAAAATATATGTTATATTTTTTTCAAGTTATATTTTTTGGAGGGCTGGTCGCGGGAAAATTGGCGGCAAAAAAACTGACAAAATATATGTTTTATTTTTTCTAAGTTATATTTTTTGGAGGGCTGGTCACGGGAAAATCGGCGGCAAAAAATGGAAAGACTTGAGTTGCTGTGATGCTTGTTTGGAGCTGGCTCTGGGAAGAGACATGTTGAAAATGTACTGTTGTCTTAATTGCCAAAAATATAGATTTCTTTTGTTTTCATGTTTTCTTTGAGAAACAAATGGCCAAGAACATTGGGAAGCATTTATGTTTTATTAAAACTATAGTTACTGAAAAGTTTGCTGAAAAACTACGAAACATGTACTGTAAGCTCTTTTTTAAACAAACTATTGTTTTGGAGCTGGCCGCAGGAAAAGATGCCCCAAACACCTGCCAAAAACCTGCCAAAAAATGTGGAGACTCGCCCAAGAAAACACCAAACATTGCCCAAACATTTTTTTGGAGCTGCCCCCCAAGAACGATTGCCGAAAAAGTGCCATATTGAAAGCCATAATTCATATATTTCTATAAATATCTCTTATATGTAATATATATATATATATTATATTAATTATTCACGAGCACGCCTAACTCTTATATTGAGTTCCTTTTCAAACCTTTACACTGCGAATTCCTTACCATTACGATCATACTTCTCTAACCCACAATATTGAGGTTAAAAAATTATAAGGGTCAAGAAAAAAATGATGTTAGCAAAATCCACCCTTGTTGGGGTTAGGCAAGGATTCCTTGAGGTTAGCATAATAGCTTGTAAGGGTTAGAAGCGGGTCTCTTAGTTATGTTGTCCGGCAGTGGTCAGTTTTTGTCACACAACTGCTGGAGCTTCGCCCAGTTCTTTTGGAATCAACCCCCAAAAAAAATTATCCAACACAAATTCGGAAAATAACAATAATTCGTTATTGATGTGTTTTCAGAGCTCGCCTTGGCAGAAACCTATGGGCGATATGTTTGGGGTTTGTTTATTGTACTTTTCGCTGGTTCCGTCAGGAAACATGTACACATATGTACACGTAGGTTCATATGCACATGCACATTTCAATTCGGTTTTGTCGAATTCACGAAAAACAACGCACGTTTTTTTTTTTTGAAAGTGTCAAAAAACAACAAAAAAAATAGCGTTTTTGGTTGTCTGGTTGATTTGAGCTTATGGAATTATTCACAAAGGTTTGGATCCTTGAAAAACAGGAAAAAACAAATGTATGTATATAAACATATATGTTCTATGTTTCTGTTTTCAGGAACTTGACGCAATTGTGTTTTTCTTATGTTTGCTTTAGGAATTGTCCACAATAAGAACCGAATACAAACTCAATTGCAACAGGTACTGCTGCTGCTTCAGCACAGGGGACCGAGAACTCAATCCCCAGTTATTTTTTAAAGGACAAACACGTCTCTAGGGGAAATTTAGTGGATTTACTCGAGTGTTGGAAATCACCTGATTTATTTTGTGCCCGTCATGGTCAGCAAGATTGCGGAAATATAATCAATTTCTGAATATTTTCAGCAATATAAAACCATAGGTTGTGCAAATTGGCAGGGACATCCAGGATTAATCCAGGATTAATCCACCAAATCCAATTTGCTGATGGATGTTTCGGGAAGTGAACCGAACCTCCCAAAATCGACCTGGTGGGTGACCCAGTGTATTTTTGAGATGGGTTCAAACCTGACACAATTGCGGTACTGTAGATTTTTCCAATCTTGCAAAGATCAAATGTATTTCCATATTCCAATTGCTGTACATATTTCCAGTATATTCTACATTTGCTAGCAGTGCAAACATCTTATTTTTTTCGAAGCCGTTGACATTTGACCCGACCCGACGTGACCAAAATTCAGATCTGGAGATTCGCGTTGTGGCAGGCCAACAGCCTCCAATCCTACTACCTCAGCATCTTCATGAGAATCAAAGGGACCGGTTGAATCGAAGCCTGGCAGGGTGCTGTTTGATGGGATATATCTTATTATATCTTTGTATGATATGATATGAAATTTCGTAATTAGTAGTATATTACTTCCACATTGCACGTCATTACAATCTACATACTACATTTGAAAAATGGAACTTATCGCAACGAGCTTCTACCGTGCAGGCCCCAGCAGTGAACTTTGTTTTGCAGCTGAGTGCGGAATGGGTGCAGTTAAACATCATGTGGCAGGACGGACATATCCTCTTCCGCTCCCTGCATTGATCTTAAGGACTGCTGCATTTGGATGATGCAGGGAAGTGAGTGGAACAAAAGGGGACACTGCAAGTTGTGAATCTGTATTTGCCCCATGTTCATTCACTAATTGTAGTAATTATATATATTTGCCTTTTTGCCTTTTCATATATTTAACGATTCTTAGTCTCCAGTCTGCTTTGGTCCAATGGCAGGACCCGGAATATCGCTTCTACACCTCTGCAAACTCCTACTGTCCGTGGGGGGTGCCGAGAGACATATACCTGGACATACTGTTGATCACTGGGCCCCAGCGCCTTTTCGGATGCGAGGGAGTTCTTTTGAGCGGCACCTTCAGGAGCAATCCATCATCATCTATCATCATCCATCATATATAGTTGGAATATGTTGGAATATGTTGGAATGAATCTGAGGATATGGATCTCCTATGAAGATCCCATGATTTTTATGGATATTTCATAGATTTTCATAGACACCCCCGAAGACAACCTGACTGACCTCAGGCCTGGTACGGCGCAGCCAGGGGCCCAGCACGATGTCCCAGGGCTCGGATCTTATGATGACTTGGGTGTGATGGAAAACCAGGGTACCCCCATGGGAAATGCCTCTAAAGTGGTCATTTTCATCAGGGAAAGTATGATGATCAACCAGTTTCAACCAGTTTCAACCAGACATTTTTGGGTTTCACAGTTTCACGTAGCACGTCACGTGGTGAAACACTATTTTCAGACAAGCCCCATTTGTCGATATCAGCTGCTGCAGGGCTGCAGGGCAACAGCCTGCGTCGCCGCAACAATACCAACAGGCGCCTGTTTGGTGGGCAAAATTCCCTGGTCAATCTGGTCATGTTTGGAAGGAAAATGAGTTGCGATCTGGTGAACAAAGATGGCAATAGACACTTCCCTATGTTTGGATGCTAAAAACGTTTTTGTTTTTCCAACTGAACATGGACATGGTTCATTCTTTCCGTTGCGGGATACCTTATTTTTTCCCACAGGATTTTTCGATTTCCCGGTGGACATCGATCCACCCACTTTCATGGCATCCACTCTGCTGTTCCACATGTTCGAAGATGGCCAAGTCATGCCAAGTCATAGAAGAGAAACTGCAGCTGAATCATGCAGGTGAAAGAACTGCGTTCCAAGAAAAAGATGGATTCAAAATGATTCAAACATCATAAACATTGGATTCAAAGATCTTTAAGGTCATTTACAGGTTGAACATCCTGCATATCTCACAGCATATGGAGCGCCGCGGCAAGGCGCACTTTGCGCAGACGCAGAACATTCTGCCGGGTCAGGCCGGGCGCAGCATTGCAGGGTCCACGGTTTTTCTGTGATGCCAATCATGACCAAATCAGCCACAGCAAAATGCCTCACATTCAAAAACCATCAAAAACCAGCCATTCTTTCAGATCCATTTCAGATCTATTTCTCCATGGGACTCAAATGTGACGACCGTTGTGACCCGGTGTGGACTTCTCCACAGGCATTTGCCGCCCAGTGTGAGACTCGGGCTCCCTGGGTTGAAGCCTTGACCTTAGTGGATGAGGCACGATAATTTCACATGATCTAAAATTCGATATCACGTGGGTAAAACAATAAATAATCCCCAATTTCACCATAAATAGATGGTTTATACCATCTATTCCATCTATTTATGATGAAATTGGGGATGATTTATGATTGTTTTACCAACATTATTTAAACGATGGATGCGACTTGAATATTACTGGGCATGACACCCTGCATTGAGGCCACTGCCGTGTGGGGGGCTGCACCCCAACGACCTGAGTAACTCGGCCAGATCCGGGATGGAATGGAAGTAGATGGAAGATGATGGAAGATATCTTATCTAACATGTCTTAAATTGTGGTAAACTCAGTGGTAAACCCATGATTTAGGGATGGTTTTACATCTTTTTTTTTTGTGAGCCATTTAGATATTGGGGATGGTTTATAAGAGTGATATTTTATGATATTATATTTTCATAATATATATATATATATGGGTTTATCACCTTAGACTTGGATAGCGGGTGAAACCATCCATTTTATTTGATACATCCCTTTATGGTATTTTGGCAGCCGGTGACCCGGTGGCATGACGTCTTCCCAAGGACAGCGCCGATGACCAACGGTTTTGGCCCTCGCACTTGAGGGCATCCAGGGTTAGCGATTCGGAGGAAAAATAGGTTGCTGCAGGTGGTAGATTTTTTGGGATTGCCTTTGGAATTTGGATTTCCATGGATTTCCATCTCTATTGAGGATATGAATCTGGATGAATATATAATGATTTTCAGGGGGTTGAAACATGTTGAAACCACAAACAATCGATAGTCTTGGATTGGATTGGCACTTCCAATCCAAGGACATCCAAGGGAAGGAACTTGAGACGCGTGAGACCGGGGTAGATTTTTCGCTGCGTATCCTGCATGGGCAAGTCCTTTGGATTCCTGGGTCAGTTTCCATGACTGGCTGAGATTGGCCGATTTTTTGCCATTGCTCCCGGCTCAATTCTGGCGCAACTCTCTTGCACCAGCTGTGGGGCGTCCCAGTCAACACGTTCGTGTGTTGAATCCAATTCTGGATAAATTGAAGATCTTCAATTTGCTCATTCCAGTCTCTTCTTGAATTCTTTCATATAACTTCTCATTCCCTTAAAAAAAACATGAAAACAATTGAAAATTATTGAAAACATATCTTCAGATCCTTGGAATATCTTGGAACCATGGCCATGCCAAGCCACGAGGCAACAGCAAATCTGCTTTCTCATACTCTCACGAGCGATATCCGGACCCTCGTGCGAGGAGCATTTGATGATTTTGATGGGCCTGAAAGCACCATATGATGGACACATATTGGAAACCATAAGGCACATATATGATATATTATGATATGGTTTAGTTTAAGTGGTGCTCATACTTGCTCTGGCCCCCCAAAATATTAAATCTTGATCTTCATTGTATTGATTTGTTCCAGGTTCCAACCGCTGACTGATGCGTCAGCAGTAGTTACTTAAATATATATATATAATATAATAATAATAATAATATATATAATATATATATATATATAAATATAAGATATATATATATATAATATAATATATATATATAATATATATAATATATATAATATATAATATAATATATATAATATATATATATATGAAGGGCACAAAGAACCAACATTCAACGGTACTAATCATGAACTGAGCTTCAAGTTTCGTCTGACCAGATCACGGAGATTTGCAGGAGCGAAATCAGGTTAAAGTCTTCCTCGTAAAGTAAGGCGCGGAGTTCCAGGAGGAACCCTGAATGGGCGAAGCACAGGAACAGCATGATGTTTACAACAAACTTCGCAACTACAGGATTCTATGATTTTTATATTTTTTTTTATGTACAAGCAACAGTACGGCGGTTGTGTGAGCTAAACATCATCAACTTGAGTTGGGTATGCTGGACCCCAAGCTTTTTGAAAACCTTTTTTGCCACGTTTCACCAACACTTCCTTGGGGTGTGGATTGGAAACCAAGTCGTTCACCATGTTCTTTTTGGGTCATATCGGTCATATTCCCACATAGAAAAATAAGCAAAACATATCAACACACAGTATACCCTCTGGTAATTTAACATAGCTATGGAAAATCACCATTTTCAATGGGAAAAACCACTATTTCTATGGCCATTTTCAATAGCTATGTTAGTCATTACCAGAGGGTATATATACATTGCAGATCCATTGCAGACATGCAAACAAAGAGGTCCAACATGGTCACGACATGTCGACCAAACACCCTGGGGACCTGCAGATGAAGCTCTTTAAGTCCAGCACATCTGAGCAACAGCTCGAGTCCCTCAGGTCCGGATTTTGGGGCCTGCTGATTGTGGGAAAACAAGCGCTGTTTCCGATGTTTCCTACCAAGATGTGTTATGATGTGTTTGTGATCTACAATTGAATCAAGAATATATTCAATGAGAAGCAAGAAAACAAATGCACTGACTTCAAGAGCTTAGCATCTTCTCAAGTCATGAGTGACACTGGTACCACAT